TGGAGGACTAAATCTTCCCACATCAATCTCTATTGGGGGACTGATCTTTTAATCCTCGTCTCTTGTTTAATTTGTAAGCCTAGACAGGTTAATGATCCGTACTTGGCGAAGCAGAATTGATGTAGCCGATTACTTTGAGTTGGGATAAGGCTTACAAGATGATGTTTGTTCTGAGCCCAAAACTGTGCAATCGATTATTACCATTCCAATGGGTTTAATGGCAAATGGGAAAAATGTTTCGTTGTAAAGAAACCGGGTTCAGTCGGTGCAAAGCCCGTTCTAACACTTATTATAGGCTTGCATTGAAAATGTATATTTATGGGAAGAATAATACAATAATTTTATAAATTAAAGAAAAGATAAATTAAAAAAAAAAAGATAATTTAGACATTTAAAAAATTTTGATACATTTAGATGAAAATCTTTTTTGAAATTAACTGATATAACGTTTGTCTAACGGCTAAAATTCAAAAAATCCTTATAGCAAATTAAAATATAGAAGGGTTTTGGTCGCTAACCCTAAAATCCAGTAAGTGCTTTACTGTCTGTTTCTCTCTTTGACCGAACAAATCTAAAAGGGTGATCTAATTTCATTGGCCGGTTCATCCCCACCCGTCAATACGGCAAACAGAAAATGGGAGACGAAAAAAAATCTCTTTCCATCATCCATCATGTATCACATTTATTGAAAATGACTGCTTCCATACAAAAAAAAAAGTAGTGAAGCCAGTCTTTTCGTAGTATTTTATTATTACTTTCTCCAAATTCCAACGAGGATTTACTTCTTGCCTCACGCAACTACAATTTTACTATCCGATTTTACTATTACATTTCATTGGTTGCAGTCAACTCGTCTCTCGTCAACGACCCCACCATGAAACCATCCTTCTTAACATTATTGGCAAGATTAGCCATAAAATTTTTTATTTAATTAATTGAACAAATATAGATTTTTTATTTAACATTTGATTGTTAATAACGAGTAGGAGTGTCAATGGACCGGTTTTGGGTTGAATTCATCTAAACCAAAATCAGTTTGGACGGACCAACAGGATATATTAAATTGGATCAGTCCAGATTTAATGGTCCAAAGTATTTATTTGATTCGATTAGACCTGCTCCATCAATAATTAATTTATATTTAATTGGGTTAGATTGAACCAATATCTCGTCTATTGGTAGGAGATAAGGATTTAAGTGTTAATGGACAATATTCTGATTGAAATAAATCTAAATTAAAATGAATTTAAATAGGTTGGACGATCCAAACATTAAATTGAATAGATCCAAAACATTCATTGAATTGGATTGAACCTGATCCATTTATAATGGATACATAGTGGACTGGATCAGATTGGATCAAATTCAGTCCAACTGACACTATTATTAACCAGATGAGTCATCCTTTCTACCTTCTCTATTAAGAGTTCGGCTTCAGTCGGGGCAAAGCCCATTCGGGCAGCTTTTACTGCCTTGCATTGAGAATATCTTCGTATTTGTGTGCTTTACTTCATGGGGAAGATATTATAAGGGTGTGGGCACAAATTTGCCCTGATAGAAGCCGATCTCATCTATTAAATACCCTTTTGAATGCCACTTCATCATATTTAGATACAAGGGCCCTCCGATTGGTTTTGTTTTGTTTTGTTTTTTTTAATTTATTAATTTGATTCAAGATTGGATACGTGGATGAACCCATATTGAAAACTTGGGCCTTTTGGGCCAATAGGACTCAAAAAATGAAAAGGACATAAATTAACCGAATCGTGAGCACATTTGTTTTGAATTGAACCGATCTATTTGGTCTTTTAATTTTTTGAACTGAAACCGAATCGATGCAACCGATTAACCAAATTTTCAGTTTTTTTATGCACTTGAAATTAAAAAAAGAGGGAAAAATAACTTGAAACATTTCCTAAATTTTTTATTAAGCATTTTTATTAACTGAAATTGTCAAGGACTAAAATTTGATCATTCCTTGTTTTTTCAAAAAGCTAGCTAGCTACTCATATTCATCATTCAGCTATGAAGAGAAAAGAAAAACAGAAAAAAAAAGGAACCCTAAATAAAGAATTCATTTATATATCATCAGTTTTAACAAACTTCCTCCGTCTTCCGTAATTGAAGCGATTACGATTTTTGGTAATAAAAAATCCAAAAGACTTCAATATTATCTCAGTTTCAAAAACAATGGCGGACTTTGAAGTGGAGGAATTAAATATACAGAATTATAACAGTTTAAACAAGAAGGAATCATGAGAATAATAAGATACATACCTGGAAACATGTTCCCAAATGAAGTCAGAAAACCTAACTCAATTTTCATGTTAGATTTAGCTCTCAAGAGTGCAAGTATTTCCTTTTCCCTCCATGGATCTATCAGTTCGAAAGTGGATTTGAATCATAGGAGCTCCATACTTCGAGTCATTTCCCTCTCTTCTTCTTATTCTTCATTTTGAAGGGGAAAAACTTAGTAGAGCTAGAACTGAGAGAGATGAGAAGTGAGAATAGTGAACAGAACCGAGAGAGATGAGAGATTGAGAGGTTGGAGGTCGTCGGTCAGTCTGGCCCGTTGGGGGAAGAAGAAGAAGATAGATGAGAGAAAATGACTGAGACTCTAGGAGTCTGAGAGAGAGAACTAAGAGTGAGAGACACTAAGACAGTTGGTGTGTTGGCCAGAGGCCGTCGGTCAAAGGCTCGGAGCGTGGAGGTCATTAAACGTCGGTTGCTCGGTCGGAGGAAAGAGGCCATCGGTCCGTTGGGGAAGAAGATAGGTGAGAAAAGAGAACTGAGAGAGGGAAAGAGGAAAGGCTGATTAGGTTAAAATCCAATCCTTTATTTGATTATATAAATTATATATTATTAGTATATACCGGTTGATTCTGTTAACCACTATTTTTTTAGAACCGAAACCAAACCGAAACTATCGGTTTTTTAATAATATCAAACCAAAACCAAACCATCCAGTTTGATTAACCATTTTTTCAGTTCAATTTTAGTCAATTGTTTTGGTCGATTGAGTTTTTCGGTTCTTTTTCATCACCCCTAATAAAAAATTGAGCCTTTTGTGCCCAACCATCTTCATGCGTGGATGTACCCATATGTGATAATGTCTCAGCCTCGGATCATGATATGGGGCTCCAAAGTCTAAACCATCTGATCTGCAATTCAAGTGTTCCGATAGGGGTGTCAATTGAATTAGATTTACTCAAATCCAATCATGTCCAATATGAATCCATTACAAATGGATTAGGTCGAATATAATTTATTGAATACTTTGGACCATTTTGGATCTGTTCAAAGTCTGAACCATCTAATCTGTTCAAATTGGTTTTAATTTAGAATCTTTCCAATCCAAACCTAGTTCATTGACACATATACTTATCTTCAATCAATTGACCAACTTGGTTCAATCTGATCCAATCCAATACAAATTTATCATAAATGGACCAGACCCAATCCAATCCAATAAATACTTTAGACCATTAGGTCAGGACCTGTCCAATTTAATGTCTTATTGATCCATCCAGTCCATTCCAATTGATTTTTTTTTTTTTTATTTGGATGGGTCCAATCCAGAACTGGTCCATTGACATCCGTATTTCTAATTAGACCTGGCAATCGGGTTGGGTGGGTTGGGTTCGGGTTGTGTTAAGGTATTTTGGGTTGATTTAGGGTCGGGTTGGGTTGTCAAATACTAGACCTTAACCCTAAATGTTCGGGTTAGGGTTGACCCATGGGTCAATTCAGGTCATCCCAAAAAATAATTGAAATTTAAAAAATAAAGAAAAATTACATGAAAATGTCAAAATTAAAAGAATTAACCTTAAAATTCAAAATATAAAATAAAAACTTGAACATTTAACAATTTAAAGAATAAAAAATAAAAAGTAAAGACTAAATAAAAAAATTAAAGAGTGAAAACTTCTAACAATGCATAAATAATCTTAATTAGACTTGACAATCGGATCAGCAGATTGACCCATGACCCAATCCAACCCAGTTTTTTTCATGTTAAGTCGGGTCTGGTCATTTTCACATTCGGGTTACTAAATATGAGACCCTAACCCTATTTTTTCGGATTGGATTGGGTTGGGTTCGCAGATTGGGTCAACTTTTTGCCAGGTCTATTTCCAATCAATGTTTAACCCTGTTTTACCTTCGGTTTTCCGGGTCAGTGGTCTTTTACCCTTTTTTCCGCTGAGTAGGGCTGTTCATAAGAATGCCCAACCAACCCGGACCGACCCAACCCGAGTCGGCCGGGTTTTCATCCGTACCGGTCGGTTTTGGGTTGGGCACATACATAAACCAAAATCTCGGGTTGGTTTCGGTTTTCTTGCATGAAAACCAAAACCAACCCAACCCGAACCGAACTAGTATTCTACTAGTTTGGTAGTTCCTATTTCCTAGTTTGAGTAGTTTCGTAATTCCTAATAGTCTTCTACTTTTAGACTTCTACTAGAATTAGAACTCTAGAAGGCCCATTAGGCAATTACAATTAGAATTCAATTAAGTGTCCTTTTTTAGTTTTTTACATAGATTAGAATTTAGAAGGTTTCTAAATTTTTATTTTATTAATTTACCTACCTAGATTTACCTAGTTTTTTACTCTAAAAGGCCCATTATTGACACTTGTTTTTACATGAAAAATTTATTGATTTTATTCTTTACCTGAATTAAATTTAGTTTTATCTTGGACTCTTGAATATCAAATTATCAACTAATTCAGATTTTATTTGGCTTTGTATAGGAGCAAAATTGAAACCGACCCAAACCGACTCAATCCGACTCAAACTGACCAGATCGGTTTGACCTGTCAGTAGATCGATTTCGGTTCCTACCTTAGCTAACCCGACCAGGTCGGGTCGGTTGGGAAAATCCCAAGAAACCGACCCAACCCGTGAGTCCGGATTAAAAAAAGGATATAACTCATCTCTAGTTAAAAAAGTCATTCGTGCTCAATGGGGCGGAACTGTCTGGTCGGCCCCACTCCTTCAAAATTTCCACGCCGCTTTCTTTCGAAATCCATTTATTTATTTACGACCGGCGAGTTTCGATTCCAAAGCCAATCTCCACTACCAGTCTGCCATCTACGCCGGTGCTTGGCACCGCCGATCGGGTACAGACAGAAATGGGTTCCCACCTCTACCAATATCGCCTTTCTTTACTCACTTTTCTCTCTCTCGTCCTTCTCGTTCACTCCAACCTGAATCTCGAACCTTCAGATTTCGATGCTCTCTCTCTTATCCACAAAGACTTGGGTGGTTTCAACAGTCAACGCTATTTATCAGAGAATCCGTGTTATTCGGCCGCTGGTATCTTCTGCGAGAGGAGATTCTTCGGTGACTCGCCGGTGCTCCGCATCACAAGAATTGTCTTGGAATCGCAGCAGCTCGATGGATTTCTTTCTCCTGCAATCGGTCGTCTCACGGAACTCAGAGAGCTCTCTCTCCCTGACAATCACCTCGTTGACAAAATTCCTCGACAAATCATTGATTGCCGGAAATTGCAAATCCTAAACCTGCGAAACAACCGCTTTTCTGGCAGAATCCCATCAGAACTCTCCTCTCTCGTAAGCCTCCGATCCCTTGATCTATCTTCAAATAGCTTTTCGGGCGATTTGAGCTTTCTGAAACATTTTCCCAAACTAGAAAATCTTTCCCTTGCCGACAATCTGTTCACCGGAAAAATACCGGCATCCTTGCGTTCTTTTCGAAATCTCAGATTTCTTGATCTATCCGGGAACGAATTCCTGCAAGGTCCGGTGCCTAAGTCGCTGAACCGGGTCCAACACTCGAAATCCGGTTTAGGGATGAAGAATATTCTCCCTAAGCGTTACATACTCGCTGAGAATAATACGATAAAGAATCACACCAATTCTACCGTGAAGCCGCCTCTCAGTAAAACTAATTCCAGTACAACCGATTCTAATGAAGCCAAAGCTCCTTCGTCTTCAGAAAAAACCCATAAGCAGGACACGAGCAAAAAGAAGCTCAAGGGCTGGATCTTCGGATTCCTTGCCGGTGTGACTATAGGACTGATATCTGGATTGATTGTGTCTTTATTGTTTAAATTACTACTCATTTGCATAAGAGGCAGGGTCAAAGACCCGGGCCTTGCTATCTTTAGTTCACTGATTAAGAAGGCCGAAGATTTAGCATTCTTGGAAAAAGAAGATGGGCTTACATCTCTGGAGATCATTGGACGAGGAGGATGCGGAGAGGTTTACAAGGCTGAATTGCCGGGAAGCCAAGGGAAAATTATAGCAATCAAGAAGGTAATACAGCCCAACCCCATCGATGCAATTGAACTAGCAGAGGAAGACAGTAAGCTTTTGACGAAGAAGATGAGGCAAATTCGTTCGGAAATCCAAACTGTGGGTCAGATTCGGCACCGAAACCTGCTCCCTCTGCTAGCCCATGTGCCACGACCCGATTGCCACTACCTGGTGTATGAATACATGAAGAATGGGAGCTTACAAGACATGTTGAATAAGGTATCAGAAGGGAAGAGAGAACTGGATTGGTTGGCACGACACAACATTGCGTTGGGAGTGGCCGCCGGCCTTGAGTATCTCCATATGCACCACAACCCTCGTATAATTCACAGAGATCTCAAGCCTGGAAACATACTTCTCGACGATGATATGGAGGCACGCATCGCTGATTTTGGGCTAGCGAAGGCGTTACCAGAGATGAACACCCATGTCACAACCTCCAATGTGGCTGGGACTGTTGGATATATTGCACCTGAGTACCACCAGACACTCAAATTTACAGACAAGTGTGACATTTACAGCTTTGGCGTCATTCTAGCAGTGTTGGTTCTGGGCAAACTGCCTTCAGATAACTTCTTTCAGACCACAAAGGAAATGAGCCTGGTCAAATGGCTCAGAAACCAAATGATCTCTGAGAATCCGGGCGCGGCCATCGATCCCAAGCTGAAGGGGAATGGGTACGAGAACCAAATGCTGCTGGTTCTCAAAATTGCTTGCTTCTGCACTGTGGATGATCCAAAGGAGAGACCCAACAGCAAGGAAGTAAGGACTATGCTGTTTCAAATCAAGCATGAAACATAGTACCCTGTCCAATGGTGAACCGTGAATGTAATTATATATATATATATATATATATGTCGGTGTATTGTTTTGTGGTTTTAGCGTTATGTTGGAAATTAGTTGGCTGTTAGTTATTTTTATCGTAGCATATTAGTATGAGATTTGTTTGATGATCAAAGAGCTCCATCAATGTAAAAAATATAATTTTAATTTTAGGATTTCCATGTCCTTTGCTTAAATTCATGTCCGAAGGTTTATTAATGACTGGAAAATCTCATCATCTGCACTACTTTTCAAACACCTACCTGTATATATATATTTAATGGGACTAGTCATTTAATTTGTTATTCCAACTACCAAGATAACGGTGAAGCTCTCAATTGGGATTATCTAATGGGATTCCTTCGGGGCAGAGATGGATTAGGAATTCGAATGGAAGGAAATATATCAGAATTTCAGCACCTGTACGTGCAGGTAACGTTTGAAGATCATGCGGAGGGCTACTAACTACTTCTCCACTAGTAACATATAATCTCCATTCCCGATTTGAATAGTTTATCTCTAAATGAATCAGAAATTAAGGTTATTGACAACAGGAACAAAACCATTTTATGGTGGCTCAGTTGATAGAAATGGGATCTCTTGCTAATAAATAGAGATGGCAATATCCACCCTGCTCCATTGAGGTGGATATTGAGAAAACTCGAAATTCTGGTGACTGGAAACAGGGCAGGAATAGTATAAGAATGACTGGAGCAGAAGGAATTTCAGTTCCCCTCACAGACACAGAGATGGGATTGAGATTTATCGTCCCGTTAAAATACAGCATACAGGGCTGGGTATATGAATTCGAGGTTCGGGAATGGGATTATGGGGATAGGGGCCTGTCCCACACTCCCACTCGTTGCCATTCCTATTTGCAAATTGTAGCGGAGTCTTTGTTGACTGGGTTTCGGGATGATCACCCAGCGTTGTGTACGGTGTACCACATGGCACATGAAGCAAAAGAAAAACACAAAGGAGATATGGTCATATGGAGACCTGGTTTTGGTTTGGAATACAGAGCATCTTAGCTCTGGATCGTTCCAAACTTCCAATACCTTATCCTCATACTCGAATGATAATGAGCCAATGATGAATTCCCAATTCACCAAGATCTACATGAACTGTTACGGAGAAGGATCATGATCATTTCGCGCTATCAACAGATCGGCAGATCCCACGGAACCGGGCCAACCCGATCCAATTATATAGAGTCTGGTCTCCATCAAGCATCATGATTATAATTAGGTTGGGTTTGATTTTGATTGTTTTGAATCAACTACGGTAGTATTAAAATAATTTTTAATGTTACTTTACTCTTCACTTACATTAATTTATTATTAATCTTTAGGAAGTAAAAGGTTACATTTTATTTTAATATCTTCTATTCATATTAGATTGGTCTTTTCTTTGCATCACATGGCTATTATCCGTATAAAATCAAAGGATAATTTTCACCTTTTCTCATCTTATAACATTTTATTTATTTTTAAAAACCTTCACCTATGATACGACATCTTTTTGTATGTATAAATAGATAAAAATTTATGAGGTAGGGGAATTTAAAAACTTGCTATATAGAGTGGTGATTCCCTCATATGGGGGAATGGCATTCCAACAAGAATAGAAATGGGATTTTGATTTCGTCCAGTCAAACAGTTGGAATTGGAATAGCCCGATTTCGATTTTAGATCCCTATTCCTGTAAATCTAACATGGCCTAGCATCTAATATCTATTTCTCATGATATAAAATATGATGTTCTTATGTCAATTGTGATTGCATATTATAAGGTCAGACCTGATAATCACAAATAATCAATGTTTTAAAAAACGATCTAGAACTGGAACTATTCTGACCATTGATTTCTGGGTGACAGTTCAACCGTTCCTTCCAAACTGATGGTCTGTTCTGTCAAAATAAATTAAAAAATAAAAATAATTAAAATTTAAAATGGCAAAAAATCATTAAATAAGTCGAACGAATCGACAATTCAACTGCCCGAATCAATGTTTTATTGACTGATTCAACAAGTTTTGGACAGGGACCAGATTTCGAGTAAAATGGAACCGACTACCTAGATGGTTCCCGGGTAAAAATGGATCCTTTTCAACTCTATTTCCTGTGTTCCAGGGGTGTAAATTCTGCTGCAGCTTCTCTTGCTCTGAAGGGTAGTTTTCAGCAATGTTTTGAAAATCGGACTGGATCGAATGGTAAGACCAGAAAAATTGGAAATCGGTCATTTGTTACACCCAAAAATCGTTTTTTAGCAAAAAACTGTTAATTTAGTCAAAGAACCATTTGAACCATTGAACTATTGCACCCGACGTGAACAATGGGTTTTGGCCATTTTTTGTTTTTTTAATTTAATTTTATTTTTTGTCAAAATGGGCCAAACAATTGATGTGAACAGTCAGACCGTTTGAAGCAGCTACTGTTGGGCTTTCTATTGTGTTAAATTCTGATTTTATCTCCTATTTATCCGGTAGCTAGGTGTTGGTTATTTTCTTTTAGTTTTGTCATTCCATTCTTTTTATTTGCTGCTGTCCTTCTCGGTTCTTTTCTGTTAGTGGAATTTTCTATTTGTCAAAAAAAAAAAAAAGCAATGAAATGAACTGCCTTTTATTTTATTTTTTATTTGTTTAAGTGTAATCAGTATTGGTCTCGCCGGCTCGGTCAATCGACGAAAAGATAAGACGGAATTAAAGTATGTGAACTATAAAAGTGGTGAGTAGTCCGCCTAAATAAACAATTAAAAGAGTGGGTTCCTAGAAGGCGCAGACAGGTAGATAATAATCCACTATGACTTGGGAAGTCAACGAACGAGTATCTCGACGAGACAGGATAGAATGTGTGTGGATGTCATTGTGCGTGTACAGTTGCTAAGCAGGCAATGCATGAGTCTTCCTAACAGTCAATGTTTGTATTTGAATTATCAAAACATTATAAGCTTCATCGTTGAGTCTCAACTCTCAAGTTTCAACACGTGGCAAAGCAATTGAAAACGAAGGCTGCGTTTGGAAACGGTACAAACAGAGTATAAATACCGGTTTAGAGTAAATTTTCATTCTTGTTCACTTTTGATTGTGTTTGTCAATATTATATTTATGCATTAATAAATGACAGATTAATACATATTTAATATTTACATTGATATATAAAAGTGCATCAATACAAAAGAAGTAAAATTGCATTCAAGTGGGCTTTTGATAAAAAATGGATAAATTATAAAGACCCCCCTATACTATAGGGTTTGTGACAAAGACCTCCTGTACTTTGTTTTGCGACAAAGACCCCTCTATACTATGACTGTGAGACAAAGACTACCTTCCATTAGCTTTCCGTTGAAATTCGTCATTTTAATCCCCATACTATCCTTGTAATAAATATTCGAACAATTGGGAGAAAAACATCGTTCATCATCCCTGACCTCATGATACACGAACAATAGCGGCGAAAAACACTATTCATCTACCAAACATTGTCTCTCTTTCTTTTCCTTCTCTACTCCACTTGCTCATTGTTTCAAAACTTCATTCAGATCTCTCTCGCCTATGACAAAGCAGCTTCTTCTCTTCTGCTCCTTCCGCTGAAAATGGCAGCCCACCTTCTGCATCTACTACTCTTGCTTTTATTAGCTAAAACGTTGCTCCTCCAATTAGCTTTCGTCGCCGATTTCGTCTTCAACAGCTTCATTTCGTTTGATCTTTTATTCTACGGCACCGCAACGCACGAATCTCGTCTACTCGTCCTCACAAACACTACCGCCTTTACCATTGGTCAAGCGCTTTACAATTCTAAGAAACCTACAAGGGCCCCCAACACGTCCGCTATCCTCCCCTTCTACACCTCCATCTTCTCCATCACTCCAAACAACGGTCAACTCTCTGGCCACGGCATCGTCTTCATCTTCGCTCCTACCAGTGGAATCAATGGCACCACCTCTTCTCGATATCTCGGCTTCGTCAACCATACCAACAATGACAACCGCAATAATCACTTGTTCGGCATCGAATTTGTTGTGTTAAAAAATCAAGCATTCAACGATATCAATGATAATCACATCGGCGTCGACAAGAACTTGTTTACGTCGATGACCGCCGAGCCAGCCTGTTATTGAGGTGAAGATATGAATAGCCAAAACGGGACCTTTCATGATTTGACTCTCAATAATGGTGTTAACTATCTAGTATGGAGTGATTACTCAAATTCTCTGCTTATTGTCATTGTGGCCCGAGCTGGAATGAAAAAGACTCAGCAGCCTTTGATTAGTACTCCTGTCAACTAGGGGTGTAAACGGATCGAATTCGAATCAGATTAGGCAATATCTGAATTCGAATCCGATTAAATATTTGAATATTCGATTCGATTTGAATTTGATTAATTAATTATTTTAGATAATTAATAAATATATAAAATAAATATTTTATTGATATAAAGTATATAAATATATAAATTATTTATATAACGTAATTGATTTATATATTATATATAAGAATTAAATAATCAGTTGAATTCGGGTATATATATCGAATCGAATAAGGTCATATATGAATTCGAATCCGATTAACTATTCGGTATGAATAGGATATCCAAAATCGATTGATTAAATATTTGAATTATCCGAATTTGATTCGATTATGTCGAATATCGAATTCGAAATCGGATTTTTGAATACCGTTTACACCCCTACTGTCAACCTCTTTGACATTCTCCTGGATGAAATGTATTCTGGTTTCACTGCGACGACGGAACGGTTAGTTGAATACCATAGGGTTCTTACTTGGAGCTTTAGTAATTCGAATGCCTCCATCCAAGATTCTTACTTTGAATACCATAGGGTTCTTACTTTGAATATACCATCATTTGTTCCTCCCAAGAACTTTGTTTTTCGTTCCAAAGGATTCATTGCAGGGATTATAGTGGTGGTTCTCTTTGTTCTTGCGTGTTCTGTGGTGATATCTCTACTTTTGGTTATGAGGATGAGGAGAAGGTGAGGGAGAGAGCGGAGATGGAAGATGGGGAACTGGAGTATTGGCCCCATCGGATGAATTATCAGGAGATTCACATGGCGACAAAGGGTTCTTGGAAGAAAACGTAATCGGGTTGCAGGGAATGGAAAGGTCTATAAAGGGGTTTTGACAGGAGGAGGTTGTTGTGAAGTGCATTATCCACGAGACTGGTGAAGGCATGAGAGA